TGAGAATTGTTCATCACTTCGCAACTCTGCTAAAAGCAACCTGTGTGGACAAATTTTGCTATCAGGCTAACAGAAAAGAGAAGAGGTATTGAACACGTAGTATGCTCAGAATACTAAAAAGGCGGGAAATTCAAATTACCTGTTTAAATACTTCTCTAATCCAAAGGGTTTAGTCGCTGAAAATTGTTCAACACGTCAGAACTCTGATCAAAGCATCCTAACTCAGTGGACAAAATTTGCTATCAGGATAACAGAAACGCGAGGAGGTATGTATGACGTAGTTTGCTCCGGATACTAAAAAGGCGGGAAATTCAAATTACCGGTTTAAATACCTCTGTCTGTCTCTGCGATCCTAATCCAAAGGGTTTAATCGCTGAAAATTGTTCAACACGTCAGAATTCTGCTTAAAGCATCCTAACTTAGTGGACAAAATTTCCTATCAGGATAACAGAAACGCGAGGAGGTATGGAAGGCGTAGTTTGCTCCGACTACTAAAAAGGCGGGAACTTCAAATTGCCGCTTTAAATACCTCTGGCTGTCTCTGCAATCCTAATCAAAAGGGTTCAGTGGCTGAAAATTGTTCATCACGTCAGAACTCTGCTCAAAGCATTCTACCTGCGTGGTGAAAATTTGCTATCCGGATAACAGAAACGCGAGGAGGTATGGAAGACGTAGTATGCTTCGGATACTAAAAAAGGCGGGAAATTTAAATTACCGGTATAAATACCCCTCGCTGCCTCTGCGATCCTGATACAAGGGGTTTTGTCGCTGACAATTTTTCATCACTTCACAACTCTGCTAAAAGGAACCTAACTATGTGGACAAATTTTGCTATCAGGATAACACAAACGCGAAGAGGTATGGAACACGTAGTATGCTCAGAATACTAAAAAGGCGGGAAATTCAAATTACCGGTTTAAATACCTCTGGCTGTCTCTGCGATCCCAATCCAAAGGGTTTAGGCGCTGAAAATTGTTCATCACGTCAGAACTCTGGTTAAAGCGTCCTAACTCAGTGGATAAAATTTCCTATCAGGATAACAGAAACGCGAGGAGGTATGTAAGACGTAGTTTGCTCCGGATACTAAAAAAGGCGGGAAATTCAAATTACCGGTTTAAATACCTCTGTCTATCTCTGCGATCCTAATCCAAAGGGTTTAATCGCTGAAAATTTTTCATCACGTCAGAACTCTGCTTAAAGAATCCTAACTCAGTGGACAAAATTTCCTATCAGGATAACAGAAACGCGAGGAGGTATGGAAGGTGTAATTTGCTCCGAATACTAAAAAAGGCGGGAAATTCAAATTACCGGTTTAAATACCCCTGGCTGTCTCTGCGATCCTAATCCAAAGGGATTAATCGCTGAAAATTTTTCATCACGTCAGAACTCTGCTTAAAGCATCCTAACTCAGTGGACAAGATTTCCTATCAGGATAACAGAAACGCGAGGAGGTATGGAAGGTGTAATTTGCTCCGGATACTAAAAAGGCGGGAAATTCAAATTACCGGTTTAAATACCCCTGGCTGTCTCTGCGATCCTAATCCAAAGGGTTCAGTCGATGAAAATTGGTCATCACGTCAGAACTCTGCTCAAAGCATTCTAAGTGCGTGGTGAAAGTTTGCTATCCGGATAACAGAAGCGCGAGGAGGTATGGAAGACGTAGTATGCTCCGGATACTAAAAAAGGGGGGTAATTCAAATTACCGATATATATACCTCTCGCTTTCTCTGCCATCCTGATACAAAGGGTTTAGTCGCTGAACACTGTTCATCACGTCAGAACTCTGATCAAAGCATCCTAACTCAGTGGGCAAAATTTGCTATCAGGATAACAGAAATGCGAGGAGGTATGGAAGACGTAGTATGCTCCGTATACTAAAAAAGGCGGGAAATTCAAATTATCGATGTAAATGCTCTCGCTGTCTCTGCGATCCTGATACTAAAACAGGCGGGAAATTCAAATTACCGGTAAAAATACCCCTCGCTGCCTCTGCGATCCTGATACAAGGGGCTTTATCGCTGACAATTGTTCGTCACTTCACAACTCTGCTAAAAGCAACCTAACTATGTGGACAAAATTTCCTATCAGGATAACAGAAACGCGAGGAGGTATGCAATACATAGTTTGCTTCGCATACTAAAAATGCGGGAAATTCAAATTACCGGTTTAAATATCTCTGGCTGTCTCTGCGATCCTAATCCAAAGGGTTTAGTCGCTGAAAATTGTTAATTAGGTCAGAACTCTGCTCAAAGCATCCCAACTCAGTGGACAAAATTTGCTATCAGGATAACAGAAACGCGAGCGGGTATGGAACATATAGTATGCTCCCGATGCTAAAAAAGGCGAGAAATTCAAATTACCGGTATAAATACCCCTCGCTGCCTCTGCGATCCTGATACAAGCGGTTTTGTCACTGAGAATTGTTCATCACTTCGCAACTCTGCTAAAAGCAACCTGTGTGGACAAATTTTGCTATCAGGATAACAGAAAAGCGAAGAGGTATGGAACACGTAGTATGCTCAGGATACTAAAAAGACGGGAAGTTCAAATTACCGGTTTAAAGCATCCTAACTCAGTGGACAAAATTTCCTATCAGGATAACAGAAACGCGAGGTGGTATGTTGCTCCGGATACTAAAAAAGGCGAGTAATTCAAATTATCGATATAAATACTCTCGCTGTCTCTGCGATCCTGATACTAAAAAAGGCGGGAAATTCAAATTACCGGTTTAAATACCTCTGGCTGTCTCTGCGATCCTAATCCAAAGGGTTTAGTCGCTGAAAACTGTTCATCACGTCAGAACTCTGCTTAAAGCATCCTAACTCAGTGGACAAAATTTGCTATCAGGATAACAGAAATGCGAGGAGGTATGGAAGACGTAGTTTGCTCCTTATACTAAAGAAGGCGGGAAATTCAAATTACCGGTATAAATACCCCTCACTGCCTCTGCGATCCTGATACAAGGGGTTGTGTCGCTGACAATTGTTCATCACTTCACAACTCTGCTAAAAGCAACCTAACTATGTGGACAAATTATGCCATCAGGATAACAGAAACGCGAAGAGGTATGGAACACGTAGTATGCTCAGAGTACTAAAAAGGCGGGAAGTTCAAATTACCGGTTTAAATACCTCTGGCTGTCTCTGCGATCCTAATCCAAAGGGTTTAGTCGCTGAAAATTGTTCATCAGGTCAGAACTCTGCTCAAAGCATCCTATCTCAGTGGACAAAATTTGCTATCAGGATAACAGAAACGCGAGGAGGTATGTAAGTTGTAGTTTGCCCCGGATACTCAAAAAGGCGGGAAACTCAAATTACCGGTTTAAATACCTCTCGCTGTCTCTGCGATCCTAATCCAAAGGGTTTAATCGCTGAAAATTGTTCACCACGTCAGAATTCTGCTTAAAGCATCCTAACTCAGTGGACAAAATTTCCTATCAGGATAACAGAAACGCGAGGAGGTATGGAAGGCGTAGTTTGCTCCGCCTACTAAAAAGGCGGGAACTTCAAATTGCCGCTTTAAATACCTCTGGCTGTATCTGCAATCCTAATCAAAAGGGTTCAGTGGCTGAAAATTGTTCATCACGTCAGAAGTCTGCTCAAAGAATTCTACCTGCGTGGTGAAAATTTGCTATCCGGATAACAGAAACGCGAGGAGGTATGGAAGACGTAGTATGCTTCGGATACTAAAAAAGGCGGGAAATTTAAATTACCGGTATAAATACCCCTCGCTGCCTCTGCGATCCTGATACAAGGGGTTTTGTCGCTGAGAATTGTTCATCACGTCAGAACTCTGCTAAAAGCAACCTTACTGTGTGGACAAATTTTGCTATCAGGATAACAGAAAAGCGAAGAGGTATGGGACACGTTGTATGCTCAGAATACTAAAAAGGCGGGAAATTCAAATTACCGGTTTAAATACCTCTGCCTGTCTCTGCGATCCTAATCCAAAGGGTTTAGTCGCTGAAAATTGTTCATCAGGTCAGTACTCTGCTCAAAGCATCCTAACTCAGTGGACAACATTTGCTATCAGGATAACAGTAACGCGAGGAGGTATGTAAGACGTAGTTTGCCCCGGATACTAAAAAAGGCGGGAAACTCAAATTACCGGTTTAAATACCTCTGGCTGTCTCTGCGATCCTAATCCAAAGGGTTTAGTCGCTGAAAATTGTTCATCACGTCAAAACTCTGATCAAAGCATCCTAACTCAGTGGACAAAATTTCCTATCAGGATAACAGAAACAACGCGAGGAGGTATGGATGGCGTAGTTTGCTCCGGATACTAAAAAAGGCGGGAAATTCAAATTATCGATATAAATACTCTCGCTGTCTCTGCGATCCTGATACAAAGGGTTTAGTCGCTGAAAATTGTTCATCACGTCAGAACTCTGCTTAAAGCATCCTAACTAAGTGGACAAAATTTCCTATCAGGATAACAGAAACGCGAGGAGGTATGGAAGACGTAGTTTGCTCCGAATACTAAAACAGGCGGGAAATTCAAATTGCCGGTTTAAATACCTCTGGCTGTCTCTGCGATCCTAATCCATCAAGTCAGAACTCTGCTCAAAGCATCATAACTGCATGGGCAAAATTTGTTACCAGGATAGTAGAAACGCGAGAATGTAGAAAAGGCGACTACAGAACTTTTAGTAGCTAAAAATCATTCTTCTGGGAAACACGTGGAAGTATTTATATACAAAGGCAAGACATTCAGGTTACCGATGTAAACACCTGTCGCGGTCTATGCGATCCTGATGAAGGATTTTAAGCGGCAGAAATCTTTCATTAGAACAGAAAACTCTTCTCAGAGTATCTTAACTGTGTGGGCAGCATTTGCTACCGGGAGAACAGAAACGCGATGAGGTAGGAAAGACGAGGTATGATTCTATTTGCAAAAAGTCGGGAAGTTCAAGATACTGAGATAAAAACCTTACGCTGTCTCTACGATCCTGATAAAGAATCAAAATTTGTATGACGTACTGGTCGTCAAATAAAACAGTATTAAAAAAGACAATTTTATTTTATTTACAAATACACGTCAAATTATAAGAAAAACTTAAGCATCTACAGACATATGAGAAAATAATGGTAAAAATATACTTCGTTACAATAAAAACGGTGGATGTGGCTATGTCTATGTACAATGTATAAATAAATTAATAAGGAGAAATCACATGAATAATCTTAGACTATATGAAATTGGTCCTTTACCCTATGAAATAAATGTGTATTATGCAATACGTATATGGAAGCATCTCGACTTCCCTGGATAGTGTGGACAAAACAACAGGCACTTTTAACTCCAATGTAGAATTTGACTCTACATGAGCAAAAATACTTTTCTGACTTCATCGAATATGTAGCGGAAAGTTGGAGAACTCCTCTCGGAGCTTTCTCCTGTCATCTCTTGGCTTTGGACTTTATCAGTATCAGTGTTATTAACGTCAAAACCCTTCTAAACGATACTTTTTCCGACATATATCCGACCAAAATGCCCTAATTTCACCACTACAGCTCTATAGTGTGGCTCAAATGCATCTCCTTCTTCAATCCGTTCTTATCCAGTTCTAACTCCATAGTCAGAGTTTCGATCTCTGCTTCCAATGCTCTAGTCCTCCTGAACATCTGCACATAGTTCATCTGCAACTGCTTTTGGTACCTCAACACTTTTTCTTTCTCCGTCGCCCATGTTCTCTTTTCACACTCAAACTGTTTTGATTTTGCATCTAGTTCCTTCCTCAACTTGTCAATCTCGTTGCTGTAGTAGATGTTTTCTTGGCTTAGTCCTCTGCTGAGTCTTTGGATTTCCAGGTCTTCTAAAGATTCTTCTTCGATGATTTTGCTGCGTTGGACTCGGCCAGGTTCTATATCACTATAGTCGTTCAGGCTCATCTCAGATAGTTCTTCTCTAAGTTCTTTGATTTCAGCTTTGAGTCTCCTGGTTTCATCTGACTTTTTGTCGTCTGGTTCCAGAGAGTTGTACTGGGCAGGTGGTGTGATTACGCTTAGCCTTTGGACTTCTTCCTTCAGCCGCGTGATTTCTTCGTCTTTGGAGGAGCTGATGGATTGAAGTTTGTCTATTTCTTCATCCCTTTCTTCTAGCTGGTCGCGAAGTTCACGCTGCTCAGTGCGAAGCTGGAGGAGTTCTTGGCATTTGGTAGTTTGGTCGTTCTGTAACAAAAAGAGTTTTTTTCAGTGTTTTGTGGTGTAAGTGGTTTCAAAAATTGAGGACGAAGTGGAGCCGACCTCACCAATTAGTCTACAGTTTTGTTTACTAAAGAAAGGAAATGTTTGGAGAATCGTCTTACATGATTATAAAAATAGTAAATCCGTCAAATAAAATACGCCAGTACTGTTAAGACTAATGATGAACATACCTGGCATTCCTTGAGTTGAGTTTTGAGCAAAGATATCTCTCCAGTCTTCTGGCACAGCGCCCATTCCGTTTCTTCCATACGAGTCCTCAAAACAGACACTTCTTGCTTCAATCTCTCGTTTTGCAAATTAGAACGCTGGATATCCGCGCAGAGCCGGCGCTTCTCTTGTTGTAGTTGGTACGTTTGCATCATGAGCATTTGTTCTAATTTCAGCACCTGTAAAGATCATCACCGATATAAATACATCTCGCCTTTTCCTCCGCAAACCTGACGCAGAATTTTTATAAGCTGAAAAGCACACTGTCAGATTTTTTTCCCACAGTAACTTTTTTGTAAGTCAAAAATTTACGCGGATAACGGAACCCCGAGGAGGTACGAAAGACGTAAAATAAATACCTTCGATGTCTGTGCAATACTGATACAAAGGTTTAGTTGCTGATAATTGTTCGTCACGTCAGAACTCTGCTCAAAGCATCCTAACTGCGTGTAAAAAATTTGCTATCAGGGTAACAGAAACGCGAGGAGGTATGGAAGACGTCGTATGCTCCGAATACTACAAAAAGTGGGAAATTCAAATTACCGATATAAATACCTCTCGCTCTCTCTGCGATCCTGATACAAAGGGTTTAGTCGCTGAAAATTGTTCGCCACGTCAGAAAAGCATCCTAACTGCGTGGACAAAATTTGCTATCAGGGTAACAGAAACGCGAGGAGGTATGGAAGACGTCGTATGCTCCGAATACTACAAAAAGTGGGAAATTCAAATTACCGATATAAATACCTCTCGCTCTCTCTGCGATCCTGATACAAAGGGTTTAGTCGCTGAAAATTGTTCGCCACGTCAGAAAAGCATCCTAACTCCGTGGACAAAATTTGCTATCAGGGTAACAGAAACGCGAGGAGGTATGGAAGACGTAGTATGCTACAAATACAAAAAAAGGCGGGAAATTCAAATTACCCATATAAATAACTCTCGATATCTCTGCGATACTGATTCAAAGGTTTAGTTACTAAAAATTGTTCACCACGTCAGAACTCTGCTAAAATCATCCCAACTGCATGGATAAAATTTGCTACCAGGATAATGGAAACGCGATGATGTATGGAGGACGTGGTATATTTCTACTATCAGTGAAAGCGGAAATTTAAATTTCCGGTATAAACACCTCTCGGTGTCTGTGCTATCCTGATACAGAGGTTTTGGCGGCTGAAGAATCATTCATCGCGGAAGAATTCTTCTCAGAGTATATTAACTACGAGGGCAAAATTTGCTACCAGGATAGCAGAAACGCGACGAGGTAGAAGAACAAAGTATGCGCCTAATACAAAAATGGTGAGGAATTCGAGTTACTGATACTTGCCGTTTCTGTGATCCTCATTCAAAACTTTTAGTGGATGAAAATCGTTCATCAGGATAGACTTATTATCAAAGCATGCTAATTGCATGGACAAAAATTGCTATCAGGATAACAGAAACGCGAAGAGGCTTGGTAGACGTAGCTTGCCCCTAATACCAAAAAAGGATGGGAATTCCAAATTGCTCATGACTGCAATCCTAATACCGTATTGTTGGTGGTTGAAAATTGTTCAAATTGTCTATATAGGTACGTTCCGCAGTCTTTGCGATGCTGGTTCAGAATATAGTGGCTAGAAGTCGTACTTCGAGGCAGAGTCTCTGAATTGCGTAATGAAAAATAAGAATAACAGAAACACAAAGAATAATGCTAGGTGTCCAGATACCAAAAAAGTCGAGAAACTCAAATGACCAGTACAAATACCCCCGCTGTCTGCGACATTGATACAAAATTTTTTGTGGCTGGAGATCGTTGATTAAAGTAATTTTACAGCGTGCTAAGATTTTGCTATCAGGATTACAGACTGCGAGGAGGTATAGAAGACGTGGAAAAGGCGGGAAACTAAATTGCCGATAACAGTCCTGCTTAAGGCTTTTTTGTGAAGCTGAAGATCTTTATATGATAGACCGTAGGAGCACCTTAAAAACGTCAGCTAACTTTCAGTTTAGAGATGGTCAAACTTATTAAAGTTAACCCAAAGACAAAGTTACTGTGGTTCCATAAAAACAATGATGACCTTCAATGACTCACCTTTTGTGCGCTGGCCCTCAAACGACTCTCCTGGACAGTCTTGAGCCTACTGAGTTCCCTTTCCCACACCTTCTCCTTCTCCTGGTACACCCTGAAGATGACCTGTTCGTTGTGCTCCATGGTTTGGCGCAGGTATGCTAGCTCTGAGTCCCTGTCCCTAAGCGCTGCCTCCAGTTCAGAGACCCCTGAGTCTGAAGGAGAGGGGGTGAGGTCCACCAGGCTTCCGCCACCACCACTGCAGCTGCTTAGAAGGTACGATGACGATTTAGCGCCACCATACGGACTGTTGAAGAAGAACTCGGTTAGTATTTGCTAATAGGGAAAAATATTTTTAATATCCATCTTAGTGAATTCGGTGTGTAACAGAATTTTTACAGTTTTTAAATAGCAAGGTTTCATAATATTCCCAGAAACTTGCTCTTTAAATACATCCTAAAATGTGCCACAAAAATGGAACTGTTTCGACTAAATATCGTTTCAACACAGGAAAAGAGACTCAAAAATGTGATTTTCAAGAGACGCATCCAAGGTACTCAGAAAAGGTTTGGCCGTGTTTCTTTTATTCTGAATTTTTTCTGGATAACGGCCAAGAAGCATGGATAATTTCATCAGCATGAAAACCACAGAATAAGATCCAGATGTTACAATATATTTGAATAAATAAAACTGTTTATCTAAAAAACCAAGAGAGGTGCAATCATACTTTGAAAATCAATAAACACTCTTCACTGGCTGTTTGTAACTAGTCAAACACTTCAATATTCAGCTCAGGAGGTGTTTGTTGGTTTTAATAAAATATTTTCAAAGGACTTAAAAAAATCGAGTCCGACCATAGTTTTTTTTGACCATCCGAATAAACGACGCAACTTTATTATTGTGAAATCAGAAGTACGAGTACGTATGTGATATAAAAGATTTGTCGTTGTTAAAGTCCGTAAGAGATGAATTTAGTACATTAGGTTTCAGATATGAAATGGTCTCAGTCCATAATCTATCCTACTATTTCGTTATGTCCATTTCCTCACGCAACACCCGGAATATAAAGCTGGCAACGGACGGTGAGCGATAATATAATATAATATATATTATAGTCGTACAATACGCTATAATATTATATTATATACTAAGTGACATATAAATCCGATCACCCAGTTTAAATGGTTTTATTTTAATAAAAGTTGGTGAATGTATTTATCTTACTGGGCAGATTAAAGGTGACCTGGAACCATAAGCTATAGCACCCCAAACCATAACTCCAACAGTGTGATGAACATGTCTTTCAACAAAAAACTGCGGATTCCTCCTTTCACCACGTCGCCTTCTAACCCTGGCACGACCATCGTGCATGCCTAAACAAAATCGAGACTCGTCACTAAAGACAATACTGTTCCATTCCTGATCCCAGAGTGACCGTTGTCTGCACCACTCAAGGCGACTACGTCGGTGTTCTCGAGTTAAAGGGAGGACCCAGTGTGGCCGGTATGAAAACAAGCCAAAACTTCTCATTCGTCGGTAAACACTTCGCATGCCAATAGGTCTTCCGTGTTCTGCAAACCATTCATTTGCAATGGACCTGGTAGTGGAGAAACGGTCCCTTAAGGCTAATAATCTTAGGCGGCGATCTTCACGGTCTGTTGTTGTACGGCGGCGTCTAGTGCCCCTTGCTCTTTGCGTACGGCCTTCTCGAAGCCATGCCTGACAACACCTAACCATAGTGTCTACACTTCTTTGCACTCTAACTGCAATTGCCCGAAAAGAAAGTCCAGCTTCCCGAAGTCCCACGATACGGCCCCTATCAAACTCACTAAGTTGACGAAATCGTACAGGTCTCCGTACTCTAGGCATTGTAACCGATCGTAAAGGATGTCAAGGACCAAAATCCGCCAACGTTGATTCTTTACTGCGGCTGAAAATTCATTTTTAGAGCGTTAGTGAATTAAAAAAAAGCAGTATAAAAACCGGAATGTCCAACTGATAAGGCTGAAAATTTTTTCACTTGTTATTTACAGTAAGATAAATACATTCACCAACTTTTATTAAAATAAAACCATTTAAACTGGGTGTACGGATTTATATGTCACTTAGTATAGTTATCTGGAGAACGGACTATCTAAGACAAATCAGAAAATTTAGTGCAGAAGGTAGGAAAATATACTACCTAGATGGAACAAGGGTCAACGCTGGGCATACACAGGCGAAGGTTTGGATGGATTGTTCCATAAAATCTTTAAAGCAAGCTTTCTTGAATCCTTGTAAGATGAGGAATTTCAACTAAAATTATATTTTATTTTTGTTTTTGTTCATGCTCAAACTATATCGAAATAAGAAATCAAGTAATCATTTTGTTGGATTTTTTAATGCTTTCAATGGGAGCGGTTATTAAGTGTCCAAAATGAATTATTGTTAGCAAAAGGGAATCGATTGATAATTTGCCACATTGGTAATGAGGATGGATATGTATCCGATGCTTTATCGGCATTTGAATAGAAGAAAAACGGGGAGACTACCATGAAGAAATGGATGAAGCCTCGTTGGAAAATTGGTTCTCAAATTCTCTACCGAAGTTTGAAGATAATTCGGTTATACAGTAGTATACTAGTATTAGATAATGCTTCATACCACATGAGAAAATTAAAGAAAAATTCGTCAACGAAAAAATCAGAAATTCCAGGTTGGCTTAAAAATAAAAAGATTGATTATGATGGTACCATGGTTAAGGCAGAATTGTTACCAATTGTCAAGACGCATAAAAATAAATATAACCTGAACACAATTGATTAAATGGCCTAAAAACAAAATAAAACTGTTTTACAACTGCCTCCTTACCATTGTGAGCTCAATCCGATTAAGCTCATTTGGGCAGACATAAAAAAATATTTTGCAGCAGAAAATAAAAGTTTTAAATTTTTCATGATGCTATACAAAGAATAACACCGAATAAGTGGGAAAATGTATTCAGCATGTAAAAGAAAAGCCCGAACCTAAAATGTGGAAATTAGGTGGTACCATTGATACGTACGTTGCCCCTTCAATCATAAATCTTGATGAGTGGGAGTTCCACGGCCTCAGATCTAGAATAATTTTCATTTTCAAATAGATGTATTTCCAGTTTTAGAGTCTATGTGTGCGTGAAATGTCTGTGCAATAAATTTTTGTATAATATTTAGTATGTATTATTATGTATTTAAATCCTTTTTCTTTCAAACCCACCCATGTATTCATTGTTTTAGTCTGATATTTGAATTAACGATTTACACACTGACGTCCCTGTTCAAGCAGTGGTTAGGTATATGCATATGCAATTATTGGTTTAATGTGTCAAGACATTTTTTAAAAGCATGCTTTATAAATGCGCCTTACGGCACATTTCGAGTATAATTTCTTGATAAAACACTTCTACTAGAAACAATAATAGACAGTTGTTTTTCTTGGTCATGACTGTTGAATTAAAAAAAATCTACTAATTCCCAGCTTTATGTTTGAACCCTATACATGCCCGCAATAATTTTGCATACTTTTTGATCGTGGCGTAAAACCACAAGTCATTTATTCTTAGTACGGCGCTGTAACGTGCTCGGCGTTCTGGAGAGCGATCACGTGGAGTATACGTGAATTTGTTTAGGGTTGGTCTCTTTCTTCCATGGATACATAATAGAATTACTACCTTTTGTTGCTTTTTTCAATAAATGTAGATATTTTTTTATTGTTATTTACATTTTTATATATTCAACTAAATTACCACTTAGATAAAACTTGATAGAAATTCAGTATTCTTTCAATTAAGAGATGGGCGACACATTTCACCCGCCGACCATCCACGTAACAAAATTAGGCGCGCCTAACGGAGGGTTAAATAGCTAAAAAGCTTCTTATACCTACTGAAATCACTATTCTGTGGATACGGAAAAATACCTGCGCTTTCACCATTTTATCTAATTCATTATCAAGTCGGTATTGGTGAATGTGACAGGCCTTGGTCGGGAAATATTCAAGAAATTCAAGAACGCAATCAAACGCCAGCGCCGACTTTGGAAACCATTGGAGCATGTTAGCTCGCGCCATACACATCGATTCGAACATCCCCGATTCTGTAACCACATGTGCCTCGGCTTGCGTGGGAGTCTCGGTTTGGACGCGGCTTTAGAGTAACAACCGGAAAGCAATGCCAGTTCTACGATCTCTGGGGCTCGGAGCACGAAATTTCTATAGAGCCCTGTATAATTGAAAAAAAAGGGGGGGGGGAGGTCTAGAACGTCATAATTTTGGAAACACAAATTTTATCTGCTCTGTGGGCCCCATAAACCGCGTTTTGAGGCCCCTTAACTCTCGGGTCCTGACGCGTAGTGCGCCGTGTGCATCTTATGTAAATCTCTATTTACGGAAGACATTGGAGATATAATGAGGAGCTATTAATTTTCGACTAGGCCATCAGCAAATCACTGTGTGATAGTGATATTCTTCAAACGACTTTATCATTACCTACATCCAGAACATTTTCTTAAGGCGGGTTCTCATTAGTAAATCGTATTGATCAATAATAATGAATCTATGCCATTGAACATAGAATTGAATGGTAAATTTGATCACACTGTGCAAATCGATAGAGCAATATGGTTGAACGGATGTCCGTATTAGACTATTTCACAACCATGTGATGCGAAATGGGTACCTTATACATAGCACTGAAGAGCCGAGACACCATCCATTCAACCATCTTCAGGCACCAGATGTCATAGACTTCAAGATATCTAAAAACTGTAGATACAAGTATGTCTTCTTGAATCTTGTATATCTCTAGTGACCATCTACCTGTTGTCATGGATGTGGGCAATGAGCAAACTTCTGAGGAGGAAGCTCCTCCAAGGAAACGCATTGATTGGGAGCTATACAAGTTGCTCCTTAGAGAGTTTCCCAATATTCCGATTATAGATGATGAGTCTGGAAGAGATGCCGCTCAAGCGGAGTGAACAAGTTTCATTCATGCAGCTCTACAGCTGTACTTCCTGTACAACGACACCTTTTTTTGCCTGCGGACATTCGTCAGAAAAGCTCTGTCAAAAGAGCCGCTATTAAGCAGGCAAAAAGGTCTTGTCATCCTGATGACTTTCGTAGGGCTACGAATCTTGTCCATGAAGTGAGAAACGCACTGCACGAACTTCGCAACGAGCAATGGAGCGACTTTCTGGCGGGAATGCTTGATTCAAATATTCCTCTCTGGAGGGTCGCAAAGTTACTCAGAAACGGAAAGCGAGAACAACTCCCGCACATCCACGGTCCTAAAGGCATAGTCTTCATAACGGAGGATAAGGTCGAGGTTTTCGCTGATGCCATGAAAAAGCAATTATCTCCCAACGATGATCTTGATAATGACCTCGACGAGGAACAGCACATCGTACGATCCGTCAGGAAAAATTTTAGGACCAACGGCGTTAGCGGAGGCACTGAATGCTCCTCAGATGATTCTTCTTCGGAAGATTCGTCTGAGTCTCCACATAGCACATTAGCGGTACCCTCCGAGTTTCCACATTGCACAACAGCGGAGCTCCTAAGTCATATTAAAGACATCAAGGTGCGGAAAGCACCTGGGGAGGATCAAATCACCAACAAGGCGTTGAAGCTGCTCTCGCCGAAAGCCCCGACATATTTGGTGACGATAAGCAGTGCGACGCTCAGAATCCAGTACTTCCCTGCTGGGTGGAAGATTGCTGAGGTCATCATGATTCCTAAGAAGGTGGGTTCGATATTTCCTCAGGATTACCATCCCATAAGTCTGCTGTCAACTCCTTCTAAGCTCGCCGAAAATTTGATTTATCGTCACCTTGAGAATTTTTCGTCAAATCACCAAGTGATTCCTGACGTTCAATTCGGTTTTCCGTCGGAGCATAGCACCGAGCTACAGGCAGTCAGGCTTGTGGAACATGTAACCAGAGGGTTCACCCTCAGCATTAGTATTGGCATCTAGCTTTTGGGTGTCTCAAAAGCCTTTGACAAGGTGTGGCACGCGGGCCTCCTTTATAAACTAATCCAAAAGGGTGTTCCTTTTTGGCTTCTGAAATTACTGAAATCCTTTCTTGAAGGAAGGAAGTTTCGGATCAAAATTAACACAGTTTTGTCAACAACACGGCCAGTACGGGCCGGTGTTCCTCAGGGTTCGGTCCTAGAACCAATCCTTTATTCGCTTTTTATCCATGATGTCCCTTGTCCCAGCAGCTGTGAAGTCTACCTCTATACTGACGACACTGCACTTGTCGCCCACTCATGTACTGGTGATCTGGTTCACGATGGGTTGCAGTGTGCGGTGGAAGGAGTACTAGAGTGGGCGGAACGGTGACTGATTAAAATTAATGATCCGAAAACGCAGGCTAAGTTGAAAAACGCTTTTTAGCGACACTTCGCCTTTTTATACTTTGTATAAATAAAGCCGGATTATTATTATTATTAATATTATTATTTATTGTACCAAAAAACGTCGCGGCCCCCGGTAGGGGTCTCTGTAGACGGCAATCGTGTACCATGGACAAATTCTGCCAAGCACCTCGGTGTCAGCCTTGATAAAAGCATGACCTCGCAGAAACATACAGCAGCCTTGAATACAAAATTCCAAATTGCGTTTCGGCAACTATATCCTTTGTTATGTAGATTCTCCAAATTGAGTTTGATAAACAAAGTTCGCCTATATAAAATGACAATTACACCAGCCATTACTTATGAATGTGCGGCTTTGTGTTTTCTTGCCAAGACACATATGCAAAGTCTTCAAGTACTGCAAAGTAGAACTTTGCGAACTATTTGCAACGCTCCATGGAATGTCTCAAACGAGACACTACACAGAGACGTTGACATTGATTGCTTGAGGGATTATGTCAAACTTAAGGCGCACAGTGGAGCAAGTTCGTAAACATTCAATTCCACGGCTCGCATTGTAATGAAAAATTATCTGGTTTCTGGGCAACCAGTACTGACAGATTCGACTAACGTACATTAGACAGTGACTAATGGGCAAAGATCCTACGGACCGCCCAGACAAAAAAATGACGAATAGTACTATTTCACTTCAATCGCGTAGATTCATTATTATTGATCAATAAAGTTGACTAATGAGAACGCTGCTTTAAATGTGATTTCTAAGTGTATAGGTACTTACTATTTATAGGCTCACAGCTGCGAAGTAAAGGCACGTACAAATATTACGAATGTTTGTAATCTATACGTAACAAAGCCGGGGAGCTCTTGACGCTTTTGATTCACACCAGTTCGCTAACTGCGATAACACATTTAATAACAATTACACAAAACTACTCATATACTTGAGTCACGCGGTTATAACCTATCTTTATCACTCAATTGATCGCTGTTGGTTCGACAACAAAAAACGAGTGCAATATAATTAATAGAAAAACTCTTTCGAGCTTCGATATGACTGAAAAATTGTGTTTGAAATTGTAATTAAAATGGATAATACATATAGGCTTGATCAAACAATTTGATTCTTCACTTCCTTGAGACATTTTCTTGAATATGCAAAATAATATGGTTTTAGAAAAGCTCTATTTTAATGATCGCTGCGTGGTATTAAGATATTTTGACAAAATCTATGGCTACACGAAACCATCAATTTTTCTACATATCTACATCGTTATAAAGATGGAATATTTTTAATTGAGCTATAGTTACTACTATATTGAACTATTAAATACTCTTTAATTGACTGAATTTTTTGAGATTTATAAAAGACTATTTATCCAGTCTATATAAATAGAACTGAAATGAGTACCTGATATATCAGTGCGATGACTTGCCGTATTCACTTCCCATCAAAATATGTCGCCGATTAAGTAAAATCGTGAAACTAGCTACCCTTTGCTATTAGAGCTGATATGATAATATATTGTGTGCAGTACATAATATAGGACAAGCACATATTAAGAAGGCTGACGACGCGACAGGCCGACAGGTTAAGGTCTTGGAAAATCGATGACATCTTATTCATCACTGCTAATAGTAGGATTGATTACAATACAAACTGCATTTATTGGCTTCTCAACTTTCATTTTCCGGAAGGTGACGTTAATTAAATGAACCGGGATTGTTTTTTTATAGGACAAAGCATTTATGGTCCGGGATCCCAAGTAAAAAGAAATGTCGCCCGAAGTTTTATGCATAACCTACCCAGACTTCTACGTTATTAACGAGAAAGTATTGTAACGAAAACACCGTTTTTACTATTTACATATTACTCTCAGAATAATTTATTACACTTGCAAGTAATTTATTGCAAACGTATGACTATGTCGACTGGACTATCGCGTTTCGCGCTGGAGTCTCATTATTCGCTGTTCGTGGACTCTCTTTGCCTGCTTCTCTGTGCGTGTATTTATCTTCGCATCGACGAATTTAGAAGCATTCCCGCGCCTTGTAGATTAGAACTAGAGTCTTCATCGAAGCCTGGTAGATGGCAGTCGATGTTTCTCGCTGCGTGATGAACGTTCGCGACCTCCGTAACTCTAGTTGCCTAACCGCCGATGTACGAGGGTGTTTCGTTGGCATTCAAAATTCTAGTTACGAAAGCGTTACAGTAACCATTGAAATCGTGAAGAAAACGTACTAAACCTTATTTTTTAGCATTATTTTCGCCGACGTCCGTCTATATATCAGGCAATTTCTCGGTTCCCATCATGATAAACTACCTACACTGACATCAGAGCAGATGTGAAACAGTTACAATAGCACAGTGGTAGCCAGGTATCCAGAAAGAATGGAAAAATAAAAATATAATTTTTTTCCAGAAATACTTAGCTAACTAATAAACGCAAAATATTACTTACTTAATGGAGCTATCAGCGTTCGACATGGGGGACTTCCGAACACTTTCCAAACTATCGTAGTTAATTAGTTTGTGAGGAAGGGATGTGAGCGAGCTCATGGCAAGTGGTGAGTTTCGGATTTTCCTATCCAGAGAGTAGTTTTTCCTGCTCTCTTTTGCATGTTGATGCAAATCACTGCTACCTGAAAAGAAAATATTTATTTTTAACACACGTAATCGTACAATCTTTTCGTGATGGAATGGCACTTCATGAGAACTATGAGCTGAACTGCTCTGAACAGCGATCACAGGATGTATACAGGGTGGCGCATCGAAAACGAAACAGACGCATTTACTAGCAGCTCAGTTTTTTTTTAAAACGCTTAGACCCGAAGATAGAATACTTATACCGTACTGATGATTTCTAAAGAACATGACACAGCGTTGTATACGGTTGGTTATAGTCGCAGAAACGAAAACCAAACATCCTATTCAGACTGTTTTTAGTCTACCCAACCTTTCCATAAATGTTTCTTGTTGATATACACATGTTCAAACTACCTGAAATGTATCTGACAATATACGGGGTGGCGCATCGAAAACGAAACAGACGCATTTACTGGCAGCTCAGTTTTTTTTTTTTGAAAAACGCTCAGAACCGTCGATTTTGTTTTCGAGGGGGACACAAGTTTGGCAAAAAACACGTTAACACGCGCAGCCCCCAAAGCGGCGGTGACATCACCCCCAAAATCTTAAATGGAAAGGGGGGTCGAGTGATACCTTATTTTAAAGGCCTTTCAATTCCCTTTATAATGATATAAAATTAATGTACTTCAGTTCAGTAGTTTTGAAGATTTATTGATTTAAAGCTTAAATAAAACTAATACATCATCATTAGTGGAGATCAATACATTTGGCAGCAAATAATTCAAAAATAAAGAATGAACTGACCCGTTAGGCAAGTAAATGTTGAAAATGGCCACCATGACTCTCCATGCAATAATAAAGATTTTGCTCAAAACGTTGCCGCAGCTTTTGCAATATTTGAGAAGTAATTTGATGCCACTCATTCACAATTCTTTGTCGCAGGTCTTTTAATGATGTTGGCTGAGTAGCATAGATTTTGCATTTTAAATGATCCCACATAAAGAAATCCGAAGGTGATAAATCTGGAGATCTTGGGGGCCATTCAATGGCACCTCTTCTACCAATCCATCGATCTGGAAACGTCTGATCTAAATACTGTCTAACACGTAATGCGTGACGTGGTGGGGCACCATCCTGTTGGAACATCAACCTATCCGCAATGTATCGCCGATCATTCTGATTTTCAATTATGGCTGTTAATGCAGGATCTATGGCGTCTTCCAGTAATTCCAAATACATTTCACCGGTCAAATTTTCAGGTAAGAAAAAAGGACCAACTAAATGATCGCCAAAAATACCAGCCCAAACATTTAATTTTTGTGGCTGCTGTGTATGAACCTCATGATAAATTCTGCGATTAGAATCGAACCAATATCGGCAGTTATGACGATTTACTGCGCCATTTAAGAAAAGGAACATTCGTCGGATAAGCAAGTGTTGAATAGAAAATGTTCATCGTTTATAATTTGTTCACTCATATCTTCACAAAATTGTAATCGCCGATCAAAATCGTCTTCATCAAGTTCTTGTACCAGGTGAATTTTATACGGATGAAAACCATGGGCCTTTAGAATCCGTTGGACAGTACGTCGACTAACACCACACACAGTCTCCAATTTGCGGGTACTTAACGTAGGATCTACATAAACTTGCCCTAAAACCCCCACTTCTATTGCTTCGTTCCTTATGGGATTTTCAACGTTGCGTTTTTTATTGGCGACTGACCCAGTTTCCCGAAATTTAGCTACAAGTTCTAGAACATATTTTCGATGCACGTTACTGTTCTCATGTCGCTTATTAAATATTTTTGCTGTTCTATTAGCGCACTGATTATTTCCGAAAAATATTTCGATAATTTAAACTCTTTCTGCTGTGGAATATACTATGGTTAATTTATGTAATAAAGCGTTACAAGTTATTTTAGCCACAAAGTTTGGTCAAATCAATCGCAAACTATGTACTAAATTCCTATTTAAAATAAGTACGAGATATTTAGTCAAATTTCTTCTGAAAGTAGTACAAACGAATCTGATGTACCTATTGAAGTCTACTTTAAGCTTTAAATCAATAAATCTTCAAAACTACTGAACTGAAGCTCATGTATTTTACATCATTATAAGGGGACTTGAAAGACCTTTAACATAAGGAATCACTCGACCCCCCTTTCCATTTAAGATTTTAGGGTTGGTGTCACCCCCGCCCAGGGGGCAGCACGTGTTAAACGTGTTTTTTTGCCAAATTTTTTTCCCCCTCGAACACAAAATCGACGGGTCTGAGCGTTTTTCAAAAAAAAAACTGAGCTGCCAGTAAATGCGTCTGTTTCGTTTTCGATGCGCCACCCTGTATATTGTCAGATACATTTCAGGTAGTTTGAACATGTGTATATCAACAAGAAACATATATGCAAAAGTTGGGTAGACTAAACAGTCTGAATAGGATGTTTGGTTATCGTTTCTGCGACTATAACCAACCGTATACAACGCTGTGTCATGTTCTTTAGAAATCATCAGTACTGCATAAGTATTCTTACAGGTTGCTTCCCAATTGCATGTGAATATTTAAGGGGTTGATTTTGGATCCATTTTAAGAAGATGCCATATAAACGTATGTTCTAAACGTCTTGATTTTTGACATACAGGGTGGTCACGTTTTCAATATATATCCATCAAATCTTTGATTTGAACATCTAAATGTATGACCATCCAAGCATTGCGTTTTAGTCCAAACGTCACGTTTGACTTCGTAGATAACTTCATTCACACATCTCATGAGAATCCGATTATTTAAACAAATAATCATATTGTGAATTGATTGTAAATAAAAAACGGTTTACGATATTCGATATACCTACACTTTCGATTTTCTCACGTATATAATATCGTTAATGATACCCGGTAGTGTTCGTTTGATTACTCACGTTTATGCAATAAAAAAGCAAAAGAGGTGTGCATTGATATTTCAGAATAACTACTCATCAATGGATAATCACCACCTAGGTGATGTCCATTTTTTACTACGATAACTGAACACATTCTGACGTCCTTGTGTTAAGTTTGTACTGTTGCCAATAGTAAATCTGATAATAATCAATAGAATTTTAAAAACACTTTCCACAAAAAGCGGTTAAAATGTATTTCATTCACATCTGAATTTAAATATGTTCATGAGCTTTGGATTGATATCAAATCACACAAAAGCTTCAGCATCGCTAGAAAATATGAAGCAGTACTGGGGAGGCATTTGTTACTTGACGATATGCGGGCGTCCATTAATTAAGTGAGGCAGATTACGTGAAATGGTAGAAAAGTATGAAGTCCTTATAGAAAAAATAATGTAATAATCAAAAAGCATAAAATAAGCAATCAAAAGTAATCAGCGTTCTTTAAACTATAAGAAATAAACTTCGTTTTTTTAGGGTAAGTCAATAATTATGAAAACACAAACATAGAAGCAGAACTGAACTTAAATCAATGTGAAACATAATTCTAATCTTCGCTACCTTTTCAACATTTTCTATAATTTTTCTGTGTACGCTCAAAGTCCACGCGGAATAGTACTGAAGGATCTTTTTACAGTACATGATGTAACGGGTAGCGTTAGTTGTATTTTAATGGCTAAACCAACAGCAGGTAACATAACACTCATAAGTTGACAATAAAAAATATCTTCAGACTTACTATTGCTTTCAAACCTGTTCTTCCACAATACATTTGTTTAATAATAAAAATTTTTCACCTGTAATTTCAATTTGATTATTTTTATTTACGAATATTTTTGGACACTTATTGCAATAATATTGAACTAAGTAGGATAAATATTCTTAAGACCGTATATCCTGGATAGAGGATAGTTGCTATACTTTCGTTCGATCTCCCACAGACCACGCCTTGAGCATGATGATGAGTTGCCAAAAAGCACGAAACATCTGTCCATGGTCAGATGGATGAAAGCAGCTTAATATTTAAATATTTTTGTATAGGATTTTATATTTTCAAGAAGAAACACGTTTTACTTAATTTAACCAAAAAATACTTGATATTTTCCCACTAAGATTGGATGAGATTCAACTCGACCTCATTTCCTGCCCCTAAGAACCTCACGCAATTAATAAATCTCCTAATCCTAGACGTTGTTATATGTAGTTGTTGAAAATCGGGCCAGTATCGACGGAGAAAAAGGCCAGAAACAAAATAGAATAAAAATCGCTCAAACTTCGTTCATTGACGTGTCAGACGACCCTGATAATTTTTGAAAAAATGTTGTTGGGGTTAAAAATTAGCGCCGTCATCGGTGGTCATACGTCACAGTCGGCAATCGCTTCCACACTACTTTGAGCTCCTTGCACTGGTGAAGGCCAACATCGTCATTCACGCGGAACTGGTCAACGCACCTCCAGCAAATCCTCTCAGGGGGAGGAGAAAGCTCACTGAATTTTTTGTTATACATGTTCGTGGCCAACTTTTTTCTCGGAAGAGCTAACTTGTGCCAAACATAATCCTTCACAAGCTGATAGCGTAACGTGGGAAGTACAGAGTCAACTTACTTGACGCCACTATTTACTATATTAAAACCTAACCCAAGAAGACTTGTCATAATATCGCTAAATATAGTTCAAACTTACCCCAAAATTATCAGAATGAGAAATATAATAGTATGAATCTTACGACGCATAGAAAAACAGTGGCACTTACTTCCGTACAGCGTCAACCTGGACCCAGGTCTGGTTAGTATGGGGGTCGATCCGTACCGTTCTCCAGCGACACCGAACCGCGAAGACGGTGACATGGCTGGCTTGAAGGCTATAGGTCGGATTACAGTCTTGCCCTGCAAAAAAAATACCGATTTAGACAATAGCGAAATCAAATACCTGTTATGAAGCCACTTGTATATATAGGGTAATCCAGAATAATAGAGAGTTCTAGCAATCGTTGATAGCGCTTACGTAAACACTAACGTTAACATTTAAATCATATATGCTGTTTTGCGAATGCCAAATCTCCATAACGATCCCTAATATGTTGCGCATGACTAACTGACACTGTGACTCAAGAGCTAAGGTCCCACGGACCGCTCTGGCAACCAAGAGTGACTTGATTGATGTTGCGCATGGTCTCCAGATAGTTCATATTTCTTACCATAAACAATGCTTTTTTGAAAGTCATTAATAATCGATATACTTGTAATGTCAACGTGTGTTCTAAGGAGTCGTTAGTCCATTCTGCGCCTACTCGCCGTAAGCGCCATCTATGGAGGAATAGCTCAACGACGCTGTCGCCTGAGACGCTGTAACTCACATTTCGACAGCCCGCTTTGTGGGTTGCAAGCTCCCGAGATTTATAGAGAGAGTCTTCTGGACCAACGTGACGAAAAACGAGTATTAAGATCGCACCTGGTTGCTTGTGAGTTGGTTCGCATATGTATAGAATATTCCGCAAAGGTCATATTCCAAGTACCAAATAAAATTTACGCAGAGCCCATATCTTGGCGCTGATTTGCATTTTCTTAAATTCAAATCGCTGGATATAAAACAATAATGAAAAATATAATAACCTTTACACGTTTCATGCATATCCTTGAAAACGGATTTTTGAGAATTTTAAGAATATTCTTAGAATAATCATAAAAGGAATGGCATGTTCTGTTCACGTAGCAATAATATTTTTGAAATAATAAACCTGATCATATTTAGAAAAAAAAATGAAATGTTATTTGTGTTTTCTTGAGTTGCCTATTTTCTCATCTGCATTTGTCGAATTTTTGAAACTCAGCAGAACTGCTTTATGTAATATTCAGGATGAATAAGAAGTTGATGTGCAACTAATTTCTAACTTTGCATAGATCTCAAGTAAATGTACTTGAGACAAGAATTATCATCAATACAGATTACACTACACTAATTATTACTGTGCACTGCCGTGTTTCTTCCTAGCTACAGTATAAAACTTACAGCTTAGGCCATATGAGATATGAATGGCCTATAACAGCGCCATCTCTCAAGCAGAGGTTTCATCATAGCCAAGTCATATAGCTCAAGTGTCATGATGGTTAGGCAACACGCGCAGCAAATGAAGTGAATGACAGCTAATCCTAAGGTAAGATTTTTTAGAAGAAACCTACATAACATTTAAAAAAATCGATTAACCCATGTAATGTTGTTGAAAATCGATATAATGTCACTTTTTAAACCACGTAGAGGGAGTCGGATTAAAAGTAAGGTGAAACTCGGGATACTGAAGTGGATGCATTAATACTACTACTTGACATAAACATATCAAACGAACATTTCAATATCCTATTGGCTTCCTTCGGCGAGATGCATACCTTACAAAGTACTAGTCCCCAATATTTTTTCTAAATCCAGCTATGGGCAGTGCGAGATGCGTCAGTCTGACATTCCAGTTGGATTAAAAAAATCTATACATATAATGTCATTAAAAATTAGTGTAACGTCTACTTGTGTACTAAGTCGTCGCTAGCTTATTCCGCTAGGAGCGCCAGTTATGGAGGATTAGCAGAACTACCGGCATTTCGACAATAGTATAAAACCAACCAATTCGGACTAGGTAGAACGAGCCAGACAAGGGTTTGTTTGTCTTCTAATTCTCATAGTCTGTGCTGAGGATCAAAGTGTACTTGACAAAAATCAATTTTTTGATAATTGTCATTAAATTCGTATATTTAGTGTTGTTTTTCAAGAGTGCAAGTGTTTGCAGATAATTCTGGTGTTAAAAGACATCCTTCTTACATAATTTGCAAAGAGCGGCACCAGCCTAATGAAGACAGATGTCACTTAGGTAGGAATTTGTAGACAAATGAGACAAATCATACAATATAAGCATATATGCTTGGCTCCTAGTCTTTTCGAATTCGTTGTACAGACCATACAGCTTAAGCCATAGAAGCTATGTATGGCCCCAACATTTTTTCACAAAAACCTACATAATGTCATTAAAAATCGACATGTTGTCACTTTTTAATTTATGCAATACGGATTATAAGAACGGTGAGGCTAAGCAGTTTTTTGTAGATTAAATTTACTCTTAATTGGAAAAACTTCCTCATTGTGTAATTGTATAGTCAATCTGCTATACAAGATTCACAGTAAAACATAGAAGAATCCGTATCGCTTGTCAAATAAACCGAACTTTTGTGTTTTATTGTAAAAGATAATGGAACTTTTGGTCCGCCTTCAATGCAAGTTTGAACTTGATTCATTTGGTTCTCCGTAGCGACTTTTTCTGCTGTGTTCTAAAAATGAGTGACATCAATTTCCAGCAACGGTGCGCTATCAGGTTTTGCCTCAGAGTTAGGTACAGTGTAGCAAATACTCTTGCTAAGCTTCGGCAGGCCTACGGAGGGAACGTTTTGTTTGATAAACCAGCGAAAGACCTTCATCTTCAAGAATCGATGAAAATATGAACAGAATCCGGGATCTTGCGCGTTCAGATCGTCGGTTGACAGTCAGAGTGATCGGGGAAGAGCTATATTTGACTAGCACCGCCGTTCATAAGATTTTAACCAGTGACTTGAGGAAGAGACAAATTTGCACAAACCGCTCGCAAGACCAAAAGGACATCAGGTAAAGAAGGCGATTTGATATTCTGGATTCCAAAAAGCAATAAAGATGAAGTCGAAGATCAAAAATGCATGCTGATTTGTTTTTTCGGAATCGTCCACAAAGAGTTTCTACATCAATGCCAAACGCAATCAACACCTCAAGAGTCATTTTTGGACAGTCGAAAACATTCAAACGGCTGTAACCGGCAATGTGGCTTCAGAAAGAAGTTATTTTGAGGGTGACAAAATAAAATTTTAATTACATTTGAATAAAAAAAAAATAGGAAAAGTCAGTCTCATTACTTAATTAACAAACCTCGTGTGTCCCGGCGTCACGCTTTTGTCGACTTTTTAATTACACTAGGAATTGCCTGTGTGTTCGAAGCCACTTGTACACTTGCTCGTAAGTAATTCTTTGGCTTCCAGTTCTATAGAATGGCTTCGCACTCATACCTATTGGTTTCAATTACATCTGCGCCACAGGTGCGGTAAAAATATTTACCAGGTCGCAATTCGATTCCCTGGTTTCCAATTCCAGCTCAAGTGTCTCGACAACGAGAAGCATAACGATCGCTTTGCTTCAGCGTTCTCTTGTTGCTGCTATATCACAGTGTACAGAAGGGACGAAACCGGCCCAATGGTCTGCTTTTCACTTCGACAAGTTACATTTTTTAAAGTCGAACTCGGCAGTTTGCTGCCTTTTTCCAGGAGCAGTAAACTTACCTTCGTTTTTCTTTTCTTTCTGGCATCAAGTAGGTCGACTCTGTACCATACGCGATTTTGGATATATGTACTAGGCATAGTGTATATGTAGACATGGTGTCAATCAAGTATGTACCATGAATTTAGCAGATGATTCTTTGAGTAATTTTATGACAAAAATTTCATATAAACATAGCTTCGCGAATTCATCGTTCTCAATACAGGGTGTTAAGATTTAATGAAAACGTTTTTTCGTAAATTTCTTAAATATCCTTTACCTTATTTTGTTGTAATTTGGCGGTAGTATTTATAATATTAAGGAGCTAATTCAGCACAAACTTGAATAAGTTTTTTAGGTGCAGTGGCGACTCGAGCGAGATCTGAACGAATCCAAAATGTATGCCACAGAATGTTGTGCAATTTTTATTCTGCTCTTTCATTAATTCATGTGACATAATAAAATATACCTCAGGTATTTTCAGGAGAGTGCGTAATAAAATAGACGGTTGTATTGAAGCCGAAGCGGGCCATTTCTAACACTTAATTTAGTGAAATTTGTTAGTCTAGATGTTAATGTTATTTAGTATTTGTGGTTACATAGTAATGAAAAATTATAAAAAAAATAATTCCCAATAGAAACTTATCCCCATATTTTATATATATAAAGAGCACCAAGTCTACTAAAAATACTAGTTAAAGAACTCACCTTTATCACGAGAAGTTTCAAAAAACTAGATCATTTTAATTAATATCGCTGGGCGGCAAACGTATATAAGACAGTGAAACATCCCTGGAAATATTGGTGAGACGAACAGCACAATCTGCACCATTTTCAGCCATTTTAAATTTACTACCAAAGGAAACTGTCAAGCTGTGTCAACTTCAGGACCAATAAAAGTAATATTTCAACTGTGGCTTCACGCTATACTGAGTGTTGCTGCTGCTGAGTTGATATATATGCATGATGCCGAAGAAAAAAGTTAAAAACCAGATCTCAACGGAAAAATCAGATACAATGGAAGTTTATATTGATGGAAACTTGGACACTCAGAAGATTCTAGAAGAAAATAAACACTTAAAACAGATATTAGAAGAAAAGGATAAACTAATACTACAGTTGAGCAATGAAAATGGAAGACTACAAGAACAGTACAATTTAGCGACATCAGCCATACGCGAAAAAGGTACCGTTGAAACAGTGATAAATAAAATAAATCAAAGATTGACTGAAATTGAGAAAATTAAAGAGAAATCATATGCCCAAGTACTAAAGCGAGATACTCCAACAATCACGAAAGACCCAATGAAGAACATAATTGTCACACCAAATGGTATCCAAACATCTGAACAAACGAGAAAAGACCTTAACAAAAAAATTAGCCTTGCGGATTTGAAAATACAAATAGAAAATATACGAAATTCTAAAAATGGAGGAATTATAATTAAACTGGCTGAGGAACACCACAACACACTCAAAACTGCATTCGAAAAGAAATTAGGAGATAAATACAAAATCACAGAACCTACAATGTTTAGACCCAAGATCAAAATTGTCAATTATAGAT